GGCAGATGAGATTCTGCTGAAACGTCGCTACAACTTTAAAAGCACAACTACAATGACGTGGGAAAATACCCGAACAAAGCTGAATGCCATACATGTAAGTACCCGCGAAAACTCAAGAAAAAATAAATAAATAAATAAATAAATAAATGTATATGTATATGTTATGTCTCCTCTTGGAAATTCAAACGAACAAACATAAAGCAGCCGTTTCACAATCAAATCAAACTGAAGGGAGTAACAAGATAACGGCTGGCAGAAACTGTTAGGACTCCCCTTCGAAATTCAAACAAACAGAGAGCTCTTTGCTGTAACGTCCTCATTCAAAATAGTCATTTTGTTCCTGGCGAAATGCACCAGCTCAGCTGTGTCCTTTTATACCCATTAAGGCAACGTGCTAATTAACTGGCTTGCCCTTCAGATTAACGTTTCCTGGTTCTGACGTCAATCCATGATCTAACAGTCATCAGAGTCAAAACTCCCAACAGGACCGATCCTTCCAATCACAAAATATATATAGTTTCTCCCACGTAAGATTGGCAGTATCTAGGCAACGTTTCGATGAAGTCTCATTCATCATCTTCAGGCTTCTGTCTTCGGCTCTGTGCTTCTCTGCACTCACAAACAAAAAAATCTCCACACCACAAGCCAGCCAAACACCTGGGCACAAACAAATCCCCCCTGATACCTCCAGCTCAAACACATCCCAACCAGGCACCTAGATGAAACCTAGCTTCCTAATAAATGATAGCTGTCTATTTACTTTGAGCCAAGCTGCACTAAAAGCCTCCAATATAGGAACACAATGTTGCCAGCCAATCAAGACAAAAAAAGCCAGAAAACAGACAGAAGATATTAGAAACACCAATCAAGCAGAACACAGCAAACTCCAAGACCAATAAACACAGACCAAGACTCCCAACCAATCTGGATAAAGAAAAAACCATTCTGGCACAGCAGTAGGCTAGCCCCAAATTTAAAACTGAAATGGCTGTGAAAGTCTGACTCACAGACGAACACAATACAGAAGCCTGATGATGGCTGATGAGATTCTGCCGAAACGTTGCTACAACTTTAAAAGCACAACTATAATGACGTGGGAAAATACCTGAACAAAGCTGAATACCATACATGTAAGTACCCGCAAAAACTTAAGAAAACACACACACACACATACACACATGAGTATGTATGTATGTATGTATGGAAAGAAATGAAATGAAATACTTTTCATTTTGTTTCATCATCTTAGAAAGATTTTCATGGAAAGTCTAAGGATGGGGGGGGGATAAAATGATTAAAAATACATTAAATTACAACATATAGATATTACACTGGCATAATTATTTTAGAACCATAATTATTTTGCTACATTCTGCATAGTTTCTGATGTAAGTACTTCTGATTAAAAGTGTCTTTTTACTATTTATACAGTGATACTCATGTCCTTGTTGCTCCCTTTTCGTACACTGATAACAGTGTAGTGTAATTTATTGGGTTCTACCCAGCTGTATCAAATGAATCAACTTTTTCATATTCATTTTTTCCTTCTTTTGTCAGGCAGAAAATAATAAGTAATGAAAGCTTCTCGTGTAGACAGATTCTATTATGAAAAATTGAAGAATCATAACTATAGCACATATTCATATTACAATAATGCTACTAATTACTTCACACCATAAGCAGTATCCTTTGACTCACCTACTTTAATCTTTCCACAGGTTGACACCCATACAGTCACAATATACTCACAAATATTAAGACATTCACTTGAGATAATGAACATCCATCATGCTATTAAAATTACTGTTCAGAGCTATGTGACAATTGACTTTAAATAAACTTGGCAGGGAATATAATCAAAAGCTCTTTTATGTTCCAGTTGTCTTACAGACAGCTTGGGATAACAACAAGAAAGGAGACTGCTGAGAAGAAATTACAGAAATATCTATGCTTACTTAATTTTTGATTATTATATTTCATTCCTATGAGCTTATTTTTCTATTAAATCATCAAGGGCTCCTTAATATATAATACACATTTAAAAAAAAAACTAATATTAATGATGATGTGCACTAGATTCAGCACAACCCAAAGAGGTTAATTCAAAATAGATTTTCATTTTCTCAGGGTAATTCTGGATAATTTTGTTTCTTTTACACAAAACTATGCCTAAAGAATCAGAATGAAACTTGAGAATACTCTTACAATGATTGCTTAACTGCAGTATATGGGTGTTGATCCTGAGTGATAATAGGTTTTTGCCTTTATGGTATAGAGGGCCACAAAGTCAGCTTTGAAGAAATTCTGCTGAAATGGTTACATGTTTTAAACTGGAAAAACAAACAAGCAAGTGAACAGACAAAAAAGATTAGGAAAAAAACCTGGCTATACCATGGAGTATAAGAAAGGGAAAAGGCTATCAGTCTTTCAAGATGCTATTACTGGAATCTTTATCAATAAAATATAGTTCTAGACTCACTTGCAGAGTTTGTTTTGTAGTCTGGCTTAAAATAATTTGAAAATAAATTGAAATAATCATTCTCTTTGTTGCCTGTGTTGCCATGTGTAAAAAGGGTTTTGTGAACAAGCTGACCCAGGCTGTAGACTGGTTCTTTTTTTGGCAAAGCACACACCCAAACACATACACAACAATGCCATCAGAAACAGTGAATTAATCTCTTATATTTAAATCTTTCCTAATAATCAGCTCTATGACTGAACAGGAAGGATAATAACCTATGAAGTTTTTCATCAACAGCTCACAGATAAGAATAGTCAACCCACCAAAGAAGAACCTAAAACAAGACCACAGGAGGTCCGATATTATCACAGAACCCAAAAGGAACGACTTTCTCCAATTTCAAGAAGTGATAATCCACAACATGGGAGAGAAGAGCAAATCCCACAACAACAACAACAAGAGAACCGAATCATTACTAGGCAAAAATCTAAGCAGAAGTAGATAAATGGTGGAGGGGAAGAAGTTGCTCTCCATCAATATAAACGGATTAAATTCATTATTAAAAAGAAAAAGGATATTCTCAAAACTTATTCAACATAACGCAGATATAATATGTCTTCAAGAGACACATATTTCGAAGAATGATGAAAGATATCTAATTTGTCCAAAATTAGGTAAACTTTTTACAGCACCGGCCGACCAACACAAGAAAAAAGGAATTGCAATTTATGTAAAACAAGATGTAAAGGCAGAACTAATCTGGTCGGATCCCGAAGGAAGAACTCTGGTTATACAAGTTTGGATAAACCACATCACATTTTTACTTGTAGCAATCTATGCCCCAAATGATGACCAGGGGAAATTTTTTAAACACCTTCACCAAAAAATAGTAGGCTTTGAAAAAAGAAACATTTGCTTGATTGGCGATTTTAACTCCATTGCAGACTACCAGAAAGACCATAGTAATATGGGGAAAAACAAGAAGGGGAAAAGGGAACTCTCTGCAGCATGTAAGGAAATGTTGAGAGAGTTAAATTTAAAAGATCTATGGAGGGAACGGAATCTTGAAGGAAAACAATTTACATATTATTCTAACCCACATAAGATTTGGACCAGAATAGATATGGCTTGGATGGATTTGGACTTGGCTAATGAAATAAAAGAAATCAAAATTCTACCGAATGAATGGGCTGATCATAACCCAATACAGCTAATTTGGAGGGATAGGAGACGAATAAAAAAAAGATGGACACTAAATAACCAAATTGTAAACGAAGAAGAGTATATTAATAAACTGAAAGAGGAGCTAAATTATTTTCTAAAAGATAATAATAATGAAACAACTTCAAAACAGAACATTTGGGATACTATGAAAGCAATTATAAGAGGCACAACAATTTCCTATAATGCTATGAGAAACAAGAGAATTTATGCCCAACAAAACGCGTTACAACAACAAAT